CACTGTGTGCTCGGGTCGGTCGGGCTGGACGGGTAGCTCGACCAATCCCTCATCTGTCTCCAATCTTTCCCCCCTCTCCAGGGGTTCCCAGGATTTCAGACAAATCGTCTGAGCTACTAATTTTTCTTTGCCCTTAAGGGTGGCAATGTAACACGCCCTTGCCACCTCTGGATCTCCCAGCACCTCAGCCACCCCATCAGAAGTAGGAAATTTCATACTGAGGTGCAAGGTGGAGCAAACAGCTCGGAGGGCATTCAACGTGGGACGTCCCAGGATCATGTTGTAGGAGGACGGCTCCTTAACCACCGCAAAGTTTACCGGAATCGTTCGGCACTTCGGGGACACCCCCACCGTGACCTGGAGAGTGATCATCCCTTCCGGCCTCACCGGAGGACCAGCAAAGCCGATCAACGGAGTTCGGACCGGTACGAGCTGTCTATCCTCCAGCTGCAGCTCCTTGAAGGTCTTATAATACAGCACGTCTATGGCGCTTCCGTTGTCTATATACACCTTCCTCACCTTGAAGTTACAGGTGATGACTTCTATCACAATGGCTTCATGTTATTAGAGGCCAAAGGGACTGCGTCTTCAGGTCCATAGATTATTTCCTCATACATCTTCAAACGCTTGGCCGAGCTCTCCCCCGTGGGAGGGGGACGGTTATGCCGCCGAGCTGCATGACTATCTCCACCCGCAGGTCCTCCGGCGATGGTGTTAATCACCCCCGCCAGGTTCTGTATTTCCTGCTCGGGAGTTCAGCCGCGGGGCCCCTGAGGCCGGTCCCGCAGGTAGCTCGGGCGTTCCGACCTGGGCCTTCCCCGTTGCTGGTCAGCTCGTTCCTCTCGTACAAACTGCCCCAGATGACCTCGTTTGATGAGCTTTTCAATGTCTTTCTTGAGGTGACGACAGTCCTCCGTATCGTGCCCCACATCCCGATGATAAGCGCAATACAGACCTTGATCCCGTCTGCTTTTGTCCCCAACCAAAGGTCGAGGAGGTCGGGATAGCCCCTCCTGCTCCATTACTGCGAGCACTCGAGCTCTGGGTGCCGTGAGGCCAGTCCAGGACTTGTCCCCTCCCATCGGGCGACTCCTGGGGAGGCGGTCATAAGCACCCCTCCTTCCCTGGTCAGGCCGTGCCCTCACTTGGTCGGCGCCCTTCCTGCGCTTGTCATCCCTCAATTTTTCTTGTGCACTCTTAAGGCGATTGGCTTCCTCCGCGTTGGCCTTCTCATGGGCTCGATCTAACATCTCCCGAACTGTCTTGGGAGGTCTCTCCACCAGCTCGGTGTACAGCTTTTGCTTGCGCAGCCCGTTAATGAAGGCGGCCATGACCACCTTGTCGTCGCGATCTCGAACCTGAAGGGACTCATTATTGAAGCGCACCATGTACTCGTGCAAGGACTCCTCGGCCTTCTGTTGGATAGTCATGAGGTGCGCGGTGCTTTTAGAATAAGCTCGTGAAGAAACGAACTGTGCTGAGAACTGCCGTGCGAGCTGAGTGAAAAAACTGATCGATCTAGGGGGAAGCCCCTGGAACCACTGCCGAGCCCTTCCTTCTAGGAACATTGGGAAGGTCTTGCATCTGACCGCATCCGCGGCTGTTTGTAAACGCATCTGCGTCATGAACACAAACAGGTGGTCTTCCGGATCCGTAGTTGCGTCGTAAGGCTTCATTTCGGAATTTTGAATTTCGCGGGCAGTTGAAACTCCTCGATATCGAGCACAAAGGGGGAAGCAATGTACCTGTCCGCTTCTGGGTCCAGAAGTAGGTCCAGTTCGTCCCGCACCTGCTGTCTCTCTCTCCGGGGGAGAGGTCTTCCCTGGGGAGCCTCCGGACGGGCTCCGGGTGTTCAGTCCGGGAGTTCTTGTGAGAAGGCTCCATGACCTCGACTTGCTCACGCGTGACTTCCCGGTGTGCTCGCTTGGCCCCAGTTTTGGTGGGACTCCCAGTTCGGGATTCTGACGGATCTGCTCCCTGAACCTTGGGCTCCTTGTCCTGATGACCTCCCAACTGCTCTTTGAGGTAGTTCATGATTGCCTCGAAGGTGGGCAGGTTTTCGGCCACTGTCTGAACCAGTTGTTCAGGCGGGATTCGTGAGGGCCCTGCCCCTCCTTCTCCGGGTGTTGGACCCCGAGAGGGGTTTTGGGAGCCACCACGCTCGGTCCCCTTGGACCCGCCAGCGTTCCTCTGCGACCTAGTCTTCGGCATGACTCGCAATGAAGTGTAACGTGTTTCCCACAGACGGCGCCAATTGATGCGACTGCCAAAAATCGTGTCCGAGCTGATGCGGCCGACCTGATTGGAAAAATCGAGCTGGGATCGTGCTAGGTGACCTGAGAAGAAAGAACGCAGGCGGGACTGATGTCCCTGGGATAACTCCGACGGTCAAGTTAGTTTGGCCGTAGAAGGATATAGTAATAGTAGAGAATACTTGTGAGCCTACCTTGCGTAGTCTTGATAGCGGAGTATATATAGGACCGTTCGAGTTGTAGTTTCCTTATGAGAGTCAAAGTTCCCTTAGGGTTCGGAGTCTTCCTAGGGTTTCCCGCGGCGGCCCCTAAATGTTCGGAGACGGCGGCCCATCAAGCCCATCATAGGAGACCTTCGACATGCCGAGCTGGCTTTCTTAGGCCGAGCTGGCCCATGCCAGCCTCGAGATACCTACTGCCGACCTGCCGCGTGTGGTCTACCGACCTGACACATGTCATGCGCGGATTTGCCCCACTACATGTATAAATAATAAATATGACATAATATGTATACTATATATAAAGTCTGAGTAAGGAGTTTGGAGTTAACATTGGGTTAACATTTATCGTCATTTTATAAATTTCCTTTTATGCCCTTATAAAAATTACTTTTACTTTAACTACCTATAACTACAAATGATTTTTTTATTTTTAACTATTTAAGTATATGTTTTCAGCATAACTACTCCTAAACATTACAATTACCAATATAAAATTATTTTATGAAAAAAATATTTAAAAGCTTAAATATTGCTTTAGTAATAAAAATTTTATTTAAAATATATGACTATAAATATTATGTATTTTTTTATTGCACACACATGGGGTGTGAATTCAATTCTAGTACATATTATGTATAATTATGAGTTAACTCTGTATAAATTAGATCCGAAACTTTAATGTATCTGTGAGTTAAGTATGGGTCTCATATTATGAATTCAAAGCCCAAAATCCATAAGCCAAAAATGTTACTATAATTGTGAGTCAAACTTGGACTTACTAAGTGCCACTCACAAACCCGATTGGCAGCCAAATCAACGTTACACAATTTTTTTTTATGATAGCGTTACACAGCTTTTGAAGATTGTGCAAGACACTTTATTGATAGGGTAAAAAACCTGGATGACTCTTAAACTTTTTGTCTTGTTTAACTTTTAGCCCCTTAACTTATAAAAGTGTACACATGTGACCCTTTTAGTCAGTTTAGCCAGTTTTTCAACCGGTAAACCCACTACAAGAGCTGCAACCCCAAATGTGAAGGGTGTTTTTGTTCGAACAAACTTAGAAAAAGTGATCAAAAACTCCAACACATGTAATGGAAGAAACCCTACCTCCATATTATCATCTGCGAGTTGCAGAGACGAAGGAAAGGAAAAGCGGAAGATGTCTTAGTCGAGTGCAAAGATGCACATAGTTCGTAGCCCTCCCCTCTCCATATGCCAATGTGGGAAAGTAACAAAGATGATAACTTTGTGGACGGATCGAAATCCAGGAAGGAGGTATGCTGTTTGCTCAGTAAAAGTCGGTGGGTATGGGTTTTGGGATTGGATCAATGAAGAGATGTGCCCGTTGGTCCATGGAGTTGATACTAGGGCTTTTGAGGAGGATCAATGCAATGGAAAAGAAAAAAGATGAACTTGAAGATGCCACAAGAAAATTGTAGGCAAAAGCTGTGAAATTGAAGGCAAAATTGAGAGGATTAGAGCAGCAATTGCGGTGGCAAAAATGGGTCAGCAAGTTTCTTCTGAGGCTGCTTGCGGTTAGTTTGTTGAGTTTGCTATTGATGGTAATAGTTTGGCAACACCGTAAAGGAGGTTATTTAGGGATGCTGCAAATTGGTCATGAATCCCGTAGAATGATGGAAATTGAAGGTGGCTTATGAAGGCTCTTTATTCATTGACTGGTAGTCAATGAATAAAGATTGAATGTGAAAAATCTATAGTACTTGTAGTAGTAGTAGTTATGGTAGGATAAAATGTGAGAAGTGGCTGTACTTTTGTTACTGAGCACTATAAGATTGGTTTGTTTGAATGAGCATTTAAATCAAAGTTTCATGCCTAAACATTTCATTTCATATATAATTGACTGAGATGAAGGATATTAGCAAAAGGAACATAATCGAATGCTATAGTTTAATAGAAACCAGTTGGGAAACATTGTCATAACATTGTATCCAAAACCTGGACATGATGAGAATCTTTGACATCCCAAAACAAAACAAAAAACTACACAAAAAGGCTGTTCCAGGCTACATCCAATCAAAACATTTGGCAATTTATCTACATACACATTCAATTTTGTTCTTGGTTTCAACAAAATAACAATCAGATTTGGAGGCTATCTTCCATTAGCATTAACTAGCTACTCCTTTGCCTTGATAATACCGTAATCAGCTACAGCAGACTTAATTGGCGCACGTGACTCAAACTTCATGTCAACCTCAAACTGAGGGTCCATTAGAAATTTCTCTAGCACAAAATCTTTATATCTCCCTCTAAAATCTTCATCTTCTTCCTCATCCGATTCGCAATTGTCACTTGATAAATGATCAAGTATGAAGTCTTCCTTAGGTGCATCAATTTCATCTTCAACAGGTGTGGATTGGCTCGGCACTTTAGATTTTCTTACCCTCACCTATTTTTTTTCATGGCTTTGATTGCTGTGATTCAAATGGCTGGTCAATCACCTAAGCCTGTGACTGCTGCCCCATCTCGGCATGTTGTGTCCCTTCTCCTTGCTCATTAAAGTCTAACTGCTGCTGCTCGTGAGTCTAATTTCCATTTGCAGTAGCATTTCCCTATTACTATTGAGCCCACTATCATCGAACATGTTGTTGACCAGCTGCTCATCACCACAGTATTCATTTGCACTACTAAATCTGTCCTCTTCACAGTCTGACTCTGATTCTGGATCACTTTCAATGGACCCCTCTCCATTCTCACCAACACTAGCTGTTTCTTTGTTACCAATACCAGTATCAGGCCCTTTTGATCCCCCGGTTTCTTCTGTGTCCATGAAGACAGCATTGCAACGCCTTGTACTAGGGATCAATGCCAAAGAAGGCTTTCTGAACATGCAACCTTGCTAACCAAATCTTGTATGATAACTCCATCTTTCCTCTTTTCTATTGGTGGCCCTATATCTAACAGTCTTTTCAATTCATCAATTTCATTTGCTATCAAATGATGGTAGTACACTTCCATCACCTTAAACTGATATGCACATGACTATCAGTAGACAACTCTTGTAATCCGGTCAACATATCTTTATCCGGCTCAAGGTAATAGTATACTATGGATGCCCTAGTTTTGCAACCATACTGTCAATCTCATGAATGGACATTCATTCAGCATCACAAAGATCAATGTAATTTACGTTCCCACCATCATAGCTTTCATAAGTCCCCCCAACTAATTCTTCCCCCATGGTGTATTCTTATGGGAAATAATTCTAAATTTGTATCTGTGCATGAATATTTACTTATCAATTTCACACCCAACTCAGAAAATGACAGATACATAATGAATATTTAATTACCTATTTCATCGATAGCAAGCAAATATTTCATATAAAAAACCCTAATCGAATACTACTGTAGACACCAAAATTTTATCATTTTATTTTATTTTTTTGTTAAATTTTATTTATTTTAATTTGTTTGTTTCATTTCTATTTCTTGAGAAAAATCAGAAAAAGAAAGAAAAGAAAAGCAAAAAAAAAAAGAACAAAAATAAAATATAATTTTGAAAAAAAAAAAGCAGACCCAAGCGCGCTTGCCATTGCCATTTTCGTACCCAAAAGACGGGAAACGCAAGGCATGAGTACAGCAAACTTGCAAATCCATTTCTCCTCCTATTTCCACTCATTTTTTCTTTCATTTTTTCCTCCATTTGATCACTCTAGTACATGGCCACCTGGCCCTAATCCAAAACATCAAGAATCTTCTGGAATCAGGCCAATCTAATGGCTCAAAGATTGCCAAGAAAGTGCAGCAAAATATGCACCATTGATCCTAGGTTTTGAGAGAGGTTTTGTTCCTATAAAAAGGCTCCAAATGCGGCCATTAAAGGAGGAGAGGCAGTGGACAAAGAAAAATAGAAAGAAAACAGAGGAAAAAGAAGAAGAAAAAAGTGCAGAAATTTTTTCTGGAAAAACTTGAGCCAAGGTTGAGCGGGAGGTCCTGTTCAGAGGCAATTTCTTTTTCTCCTTGTCCTGACTTCTTTTGGATCGATTCTTGATTTCTGAATACTCTATAGATGTAGGAAAAGAACTTTTGTGTTGGAGATTTTTAGAGAAAACGTCTCTAAAGTCATCGAATCCGGGCTCGAAATCGGACCATTGTTAGCTCTTGAAGCCAGTTTTTTCAGAAATCTTCAATTTTATCTTTCCGATCTTGGATCCCTTTTTCCTGAGGTTTACAGCTCTCATTCGACTTCTTGAAACATCATAGGTATCTGTTAAACTGTCTTCCTTCGTACAAGTTCGGATCTATGACAGATTTCTCCCTTTTTTGCTCTCTACATTTTCATTCCTCTTGTTATGTTTTTTGTAAAATCTTGGTTGGAATTTTTTTAGGGCAAAAAACTGCGGTGGTCCTCTAACTTTCAACTTTGTGCACTTTTAGTCCTCCAACTAATAATTGCGCAAATGTAGTCCTCGAATTAATAAAATTGTATATTTCTAGTCCATCCGTCCAATTTGGCTGTTAAGATGGACGGGAGAGACATCACAGACTACTCTCATAACATTTGTTGGGGCAAAGTCATCAGCACAGCAGAGGGACTTACTTACCTTAAAAATCCCATTATTCTCCATTTTCACTCCAATTGACATCTGAAGCTTGTAGGACTGGTAGCAGTAGATTTTTGGTCTCAATTGAGCCGAAAATGAGGAGATTGAACACTCCAACTCTTCCCGTGTGCCCCTACGGTAAATCGACGTGACTTCGTGGACATCTTGGAATCCTGGCAAGAGGTATGCAGTATGCGCAGATGGGGTTGCGACTTTTGGGATTGGATCGACGGGGAAA